TCGCGTATGCAGCTTACACGCACGTGCGCGGTTTAGAAAACGTGGCTAAATAGGGCAGCATAGCGGCAGGGCAGGCTCACCCGCAGGTGAGCCACTACCGATTCGACCGAACCGGTCTGAACCAGCTGAATATCACCTCTGATCTTCAGTCACAAAATGGTGGCCATTGGGATGGCTTTTTTAAAGCCCCCAGTGAGACGACGCAGTCACATCTTGCTTTATGGAGAAAATATGTCCCATTTTCAACCCACCAAAAGATGCGGTATCATCCTCAAGAGTTTCTTTGAAGGCAGGGGTCTCCAAACCTGGCAACTTTAAGATTTCTGGACTTTTGATTCCCAGAATTCCTCAGGCAACATGGCTTGGCTGAGGAATTCTGGGAGTTGAAGTCCACATGTCTTAAAAGTTGCCAAGTTTGGAGGGCCTTGTTCTAAGGGAATCTCTCATAAGGCACCATTTTTTCCCCCAAAGAGCCTGTTGAGAGGGGGCAAATCAGTGAAATGAATACAGGTAGTCCTCGACTTAAAACCACTCGTTTACTGACTGTTTGAAGTTGCAACGGCATTGAAAAAAGTGGCTTATGACCAGTTTTCACACTTATGACCGCATCCCCACAATCGTGTAATCAAACTTTGAGTGTTAGGCAACTGGCATGTATTTTGTTTATTTATTTATTTATATTTCGTATTTCTAAACTGCCCATTTCCTCAAAGAGGGACTTTATAATATAATATTTATGACACTTGCACTATCCTGGGGACAAGTGTTCAACATTTGTAATCTTCCCAGCCAGCTTCTGACAAGCAAAGTCGGGGGGGGGAGGGGGAGAGCCAGGTTTGTTTCACAACTGCGTGATTCACTTAACAACTGTGGCAAAAAAAAAATCATAAAATGGGGCAAAACTCTCTTTAACAACTGCGTTGCTTAGGAATGAAAATTTTGGGTTCAATTGGGGTCGTAAGTCAAAGACTACCTGTACCACAAAGGAAATCAATGTTCGGTCCATCAGCAGATGAAATTTCCAACCCCAGAACCAAACAAGTCCAAAATTGCAGAGAATTTAACAGAAACCTTCTAAAAATATCTCGTTGTACAGGTATCTTGGGTTGTGCAGGCAGTCCTCCTCATCGTATCAACACAAATTGAGACCGGAATTTCTGTTACTAAGCAAAATGGTTGAAAAGTGAGTTGCCTCCGTTTTTATGACCATTGTCGCAGCTGTTAAGTGAATCACACGGTCGTCGAGCAAATCAGCTTCCCTCAACCCACAACCAGAACCGAGGCCGGAATTTTCGTTGTTAAATAAACAAACTTAAGGGAGTCTCTCACCCGATTTTACAATCTTTTCTGCCATGGTTGCTAAGTGAATTACTGCAGTAGTTATCGGAAGCTAGCTGGGAAGATTGCAAACGGCAATCTCGTGACCCCCCCAAGACACTGTAACTGTCATAAATATATGCCAGTTGCCGAACACCCAAATTTTGATCACGTAACTGTGAGGATGCTGCGACAGTCTTAAGTGCGAGGATCTGTTTTACGTCACTTTTTTTAGTGCTGTTGCCAACTTTGAATGGTCGCTAAATGAATGGTTGGGAGTAGCTGACCTTACCACGCTGAGCACTCTTCCTCCTAATTGTGTGACTCGGAGCAGAGCTGTTGTTAAGCAGTTGTGACAAATTCTGGTAGCTCTGTAAACTTTCCCTATTTTGTGTTAAACAACAGAAACCACAACATCAGCAAAAAAAACTCTCATCAAGCTGCAGCTATGCCCTCCTTGCAAATCCTACCTCTGAATTTGGGCAAAGAGGCAAATAAACCAGGTTTTGGGCCCAAGTCTGCCTGATAGTGTTGTGTTCCAAAGGGGAAATATCTGTGGGATAGGCCGAGCCAAAATATCTGTGGGATAAGGCAGTTTCCCAAAAAGCCTACTCAATCCAGGTGCTTCACACGGCCTGCCAGCCACAAGAATTGGATGAGCCACAAGCCTCATCCAATCTTGGATCAGAAACTGGAGCTTTTGTGCATTGGCTCTTCTGAAGTTTTGGAGTGCAGTGATTTAAATCACACATCACCAGGGCATACAGGTAGTCCTCAACTTATGACCACAATTGAGCCCAAAATTTCTATTATCAAGCGAGACATTTGTTAAGTGAGTTTTGCCCAGAAGTGGGCTGCTGCCGGTTCAGACCGATTCGGGCAAACTGGTAATTCTGACTAGCAGCTGGACCCGCCCACCGGCCCTGGCGCTATCCAGTCCTACATAGTTGCCATGTTTTTGAAGCCACGTGCATGCATGCGCGCACTCGCATTTTTGATGCTGGCCAAACCGGTTGTTACATTAATGTGATACCCAACTCCGGCCACCCTTGTTAAGTGAATCATTGCAATTATTAAATTAGCAACATGGTTGTTAAGTGAATCTGGCTTCTCCATTGATTTTGCTGGTCAGGTCACCCAGGGGAATCACCTCAGGGGTGGGTTCTACTTACTTTTACTACCAGTTTGCAACGGGACCGCATATGCACGCAGATTGTCCATTATGACATCCGGGCCAATGGGTGGAGCCTTCCGCTGCTTTTACTACCGGTTCGGAAGAACCGGACAGAACCGGGATCAACCCACCACTGAATCACATGATCCCAGAACATTACGACCGTCATATATATGAACCAGTTGCTAAGGTTCCAAAATTTAATCAGGTGACCATGCAGATGCTGCAATGGTCATATGTGTGAAAAATGGTCATAAGTCACTCTTTTCCATGGACACTAAAACTCTGGACACTAAAAGAATGGTTGTTAAATTGAGGACTACCTGTAATGCTATTTGTTTGATGTGGGCTTGCAAGGTCAGAAAATTCCAGTTTGTGGGCTTAGTGCCATTTGTGAAGTTAGACTATCATAGCTTATTGAATAAACCATGATGAAACAAGAGGCGCGTTAGTGCAACGTGTAAACTGGACCACTGCAGAGCGTCTCTATAAAATCTCTATAAAATCATACCTCTCATCTGATTCTTTTCGCTTCTAAATTCGAATGGATTTGTTCATTAAGCTCTTTCCCTTCCTTCCTTCATTTTATATAGAGGAAATCCTCAGGTTATGACCGTAATTGAGCCTTGCAATGATGGTTGTAAGTTATGACCGTCATAAAGTAGGTCATCGCGTGATTTTTAAAAACCTTTTTTTTGCCGTAAAGCAAAGTCATTGTTCACTAGGGCAGGGGTCTCCAACCTTGGCAACTTTAAGACTTGTGGACTTCAACTCCCAGAATTCCTCAGCCAGTTTTGCTTTGCTGGCTGAGGAATTCTGAGAGTTGATGTTCTGCCCCAGCTACGGACCCCAAAGAACGCAGCACGCACAAAGTCTGTACAAACCTTAGTTTACTAAATTAAATCAGTCTTTCTCAAATAAAGGCTGTTAATTAACTTTCTTAACAGCCTACAAGAATCCAAAGAATAAATAATCGTAATCTTACTATGGTTGGCAGAAAGCCCAGAAGCAATTTGCAGGAAACTGATAAGAGAACTAAGATCAAGACACGAAGGAGAGTAAACGAAGTTGTTCCCTGCAAATTGCCTCAGTCGTAATCCTTCCTTAAATAAACTAAGGGAGTGGCCAATTAGCCCCAAGCCTTACTCTCGAGGAGACCTCCTCCTAAGGAGCCACTCCTGCCTTTTGGCAGCTCTGCGCGCTCCTCCTCTTCACTTATAGGAGCTTCTGGAGGTTCTGAAGGCCCTGGCTGAATCCCCATCTCCGACACCACATCTTCTCCAGCCTCCTCATTGTCTGACTCGAGTGCCAGCTGCACAGGCTGCTGGCGCAGCACCACACCAGCCTCCTCGCTGTCGGAATCAGCTACTAGCTGCACAGGCCGCTGACGGGCCACAACAGTTGAAGTCCAAAAGTCTTAAAGTTACCAAGGTTGGAGACCCCTGACCCCTTTTGTTTCTGGAAGAACAAAAAAAAATCGTAAATTGTGGCCATGTGCTGCAAACGGTCATAGAGGCTGAATACCTGACATGTGGACATATGACCATGGGGCAGATATTGGAACTTTGGAACTGGGTTGTTTTAACTTTGGGGGCCTGTCGTAACTTTGAATAGCCGGTGAGCAACTGGTCATAAATCAAGGACTATTGGTGTTGGATTTATAAGCCCCTTTACGTCTTCTTCTCCTACCCTAGATAGATAAATTCATGGTAGGTCAGGAGGAAGAAAGGAGTTGGGTTTAAGAAAAGTTTAGAGCAGTTTCACAACCTCAGCCACTTGAAGACATGTGGACTTCAACTCCCAGAATTCCCCAGCCAGCATAGCCATAGCTGGCTGGGGAATTCTGGGAGTTGATGTCCACACATGCAGAAAGGCAGACACCACCGAGGAAAGGGATGGAGGGAAGAAACAAGGGAGATTCAGGATGACAAACAAGTCAAATCCCCCATTTTGTTTGTTTTAGGGATTTCCAAGCCAAGAAACCCAAAGGGGAATCTACTTCAGGCCTGGCTCAGATCCACGCAGGATCGATTTTCCGCTGATCCCATCTTCTCACCACAGAATGGATCAACGCATTACAAGCCCACAAGGCAATGGCTGGTTTTGGGTGTGAAAATTGGTCATTCAGGACATTTCGTCTGCAAGGGAGGGCAACCCCAAAACATCCACCATTTTGGAACTCGGCAGCTCAGCACCCTCAAACTAGTACAGCCACATGGGCAGCGTGGTCCGGATGTTGCCTCTTCAGTTGCATTGTGCTGGTTTCTCCTCCCCCCCCCACGCCCCTCCCCAAATCCAAGCTATCTTTATGAACAGAAAAAAACAAGATTTACAAATTACACTTTCCCAGTTTTAGACCTGCATAAATCATCCTTCTGTTCAGACAACCCTCCCTCCCCCTTGACCCTTAAACACACACAGAACACAGTCCAGAGTTTCGATTCGTCTTGAGGATATACATCTCCCACTGTCTTTCTTGGAGAAATCGAGGAAAGCAATGCCCCGGAAGTATGAGATGCTCTTTTTATTAATCTATTTTTCTTTTCTTTTCTTTTTTTCCTTTTCTTCTTTTCTTTTCCAAGTGGCAGTGAGCCTGCGATACCCATGGAATATGACAACAAAGAAATCCGAAGGAGTAACAGGTTTTGGCATAAACAGTATTCTAGTCCTCAAGGTATCTTTTTTGTTTGTTTTTGAAGAAATGGTCTCGTTACAGTTGGTGGCTCTCTTCGTTAAGGGGTTTCCACCATCACAAAAAAAATGTAATTTGGTCACCGCGAGAGGTTCCACCGTTGCCCTCGACTCTACATCGTCATAGTCAAGCCAAAAAAAAAAAAACCCACATCAAAGGGAATGTAAAGGATATCCCTCAAACCCACCCAACCCCTTCTCAAATAAAAAAAAGAAAAAAATATGAGGCACCAACACCTCATATATCCTTTCTGCTTTCTCCCCCTCCCCCCTCATTGCGATGTCTCTTTTTTGAGTTCCAGTTGTGGAAAAAGTCTAGAATAGACACACGCACACGTACCCTCCCAAAAAAACAACAACAACAAAACCCACAAAAAAACAGAAAAGGTTAAGCTAAGAAAAATAAGAAAATAAAAAAACGACTATATTTGGTCTAGAGATTTTAAAAAGAAAAACTCCACGGAGGATTAATCTAAAGGGGTTTGGGGGTGTTTTTTTTAAACCAGCTGGCTTGATAAGAGGTCTGTGTTGTTTTGTTTTTGAAATATAAAACCAGCTCAGCTCCCCATGTCACAGGTTGTTGTTGTTTTTTTTAAAAAAACTTTTTTTTGAGCCTCTTTTTCCTTTCCTCTGTACTGCATCAGACTTGGGGGGGGGGGTGGAGTTGGCTCAGTTTGGGGTGTTGTTTTTTTTTCAGGAGACCCAAAGGCAAAGACAGGAAATCCAGGGCCCCTTCTTCGCTTGACGTTGGCAGAGGTCGGAGATCAAAATCCTTGCAACACCCCCACACACCCCCATCCCAAGTGTATCGTTTCTGATCCGGTAACAAACACTCCTCTTCTTCGATCTCATTCCTTCCTCCGATACGTTTCCTCCTCCCCCCCCCTTGGTTTTTGCAGCTGCCGCCGTAAAAGAAAACCCCCCCTTTTTTCTCGTCTGCAATTCCGCCGGGGGCTAGGAAGCGAGGATAGTCCAAAACATCGGCACCACCACGAAGAAGGCATCGGGAACGGTGAAGCTGCAGCAGGAATTATTGCTGGTGAAAATGGGCTCTGGCGATTCGTAGAGGGAATCGTCTGGAGGGGGGAGAAAGGGAAAAAAAAAAGTTGGATTTTTTTTGTTTCAGAGAAACCCACTTCCTGTCAGGGTTCCAAGTAATACACCCATAGAAAGCAGAACTCAGAGGCAGGCAAGTTCCCCAAAGAACAATTTATTGGATACATCATATTGGCACATATTGGTAAAAGCCGACTCTGAAAATTCCCGCGGCTTTCACCTAACTAAAAGATTAGTTTCCTCTTTCGCCCAAATCACTGGTCCAGGTGCTGGCCAGTTGCTTGGTTACTTCACTCCTCCTCTGGCCAACCACCGGTGAGAATGACCTTGGTTCCCACAGGAAAACTTTATTGTTTTGGCTACAAAACCTCATCTAGCTATTTCCCCCCTCCTTCTGTTGTGGGGCAAGCCTGAAGCCTCCAAGATGGCCTCAGCCAGGTTCACTTCCGGGTTGACACTTCCTTTTCCATCTCTCAAGATCTCTGATGTCCCACTGTTGCTTGGTGTGATGGATAGGAAGAGGTAGATGATTTTAACAAACAACCGAGGGCAAAAGAATAAAAAGCACAATGGGAAAACATAGCGTAGAACAATCGTCACATTCAATCATTCACATTTGACTGAATATCTGGACTTCAACTCCCAGAATTCCCCAGCCGGCACGTTTCATTACCCACCTAGGTAACATCATGAGTGCCAATGAGTATGGAGCTTGCTCCCTGTTTTATATACAGCAGCGTGCCCTGCTGGTTTTTGTGGGGGTGTGGTTTTCTCCTTGGTAATTCCTTGATTGGGATATTGTCTCATGCTTGATTGTTTGTCTGGTGTTAATCCCTGCTTATCTGGGTGTTGGCTGCTGGAGAGGATGTGTCTCTGGTCTGTTTTGTTTCCTTCTAAGCCTTTTTATTGTCTCTCTTGAATGGTTTGTAAATATAGCTTATCTCTATGCGTCTATTGATGGCTGATTTGTCTGAATGCCAAGCTTTCAGGAATTCCCTAATGTTTTCGGATATAGCTTAGTCTACTCACAGTTTCCCAGCTGAAACTATAGTTTAGTCTGCCCGTGAGATTAGAGTTTTCATTGTATCTTCTGACTGCTATTTGGTGTTTGGGGATGCACTCTCCACAATCAGACAGAAAGCAATACCCAAGCCGCTCTCACAATCAAGCAAGAAAGCAGTGCATTAATCAAGGAACCATCAAGGAAAAGAACCAACAACCTGACACTCCCACAAAATGGGTAAAATCAGGGGTGAAATCCAGCAGGTTCTGACAGGTTCTGGAGAACCGGTAGCGGAAATTTTGAGTAGTTCAGAGAACCAGCAAATACCACCTCTGGCTGGCCCCAGAGTGGGGTGGGAATGGAGATTTTGCAATATCCTTCCCCCAGGAGAGGGGAGGGAATGGGGATTTTACAGTATCCTTCCCCTGGAATGGGGTGGGAATGGAGATTTTACAGTATCTTTTTCCCTCCCATGCCCACCAAGCCACGCCCACAGAACTGGTAGTAAAAAAATTTGAATTTCACCACTGGGTAGAATAACAGATTAATAGAGTTGGAAGGGACTTTGGAGGTCTTCTAGTCCAACCCCCTCCTCAGGCAGGAAATCCTATACCAGCGGCCCCAACCTTTTGGGCACCAGAGACTGGTTCCGTGGAGAAGTTTTTGCCTGGACTGGATGGGGTGGGGTTTGCATGCCATTGGCGACCTCCCTCAGCGTCCTCTGACATGCGAAGTCAGTTGGGGAAGCTGGATTCGCTCAATGACTACAGGTAGTCCTCAATTTACAACAGTTCGTTTAGAGATCGTTCAAAGTTACAACGGCACTGAAAAAAGTGACTTATGACAGTTTTTTTCACAATTACAACGATTGCAGCATCCCCATAATCCTGTGATCAAAATTCAGACGCTTGGCAACTGATTCATACTTATGATTGTTGCTGTGTCCCGGGGTCCTGTGATCCCCCTTTTATGACCTTTTGACAAGAAAAAAAACTTAATTGGGAAGCCAGATTCACTTAACAACCTTGTCACTAACTTAACGACCGCAGTGATTCACTTAATCAAGAAAGGTCGTAAAATGGGGCAAAACTCACTTAACAAATGCCTCGCTTAGCAACAGAAACGTTGGGCTCACTTGTGGTTGTAAGTCAAGGACTAACCTGTATGTGATTCACTTAACTGCTGTGATTTTCTTAACAACCATGGCAAAAAGAAAAGGTTGTAAAATTAGGCATGACTGATTTAACAAGTGCCTTGCTTAGCGAATTCTGATCCCAATTCTGGTTGTAAATTAAGGACCACCTGTAATACCAAAATCTGTATTATTTATTTATTTATTTATTGGTTTGGTTTATATGCTGCCCTTTCTCTGGAGACTCAGGGCGGCTTACAATGCGTTAAGCAATAGCCTTCATACTTTTGTATATACTGCTTAGTAGGGCTTTCGCCCCCCCCCAAGCGGTGTTCTTTTTTATACAAAATCAGCTTATTGCCCCCACAAACTGGGTCCTCCTTTTACCTACCTCGAAAGGATGGAAGGCTGAGTCAACCTTGAGCCTGGTGAGATTTGAACTTGCAGTAATTGCAGGCAGCTGGTATTACTTAACAGTGCTTTAGTCTGCTGTGCCACCAAGGCTCTTAGTATCTCTCTCGTCTCTATCATCTATCTCTCTATTTCAATATATGTGTGTATGTATGTGTGTGTGTGTGTGTGTATACAAACACACACAAGATATAATATATATATATATATATATATATATATATATATAATATATATATATATATATATATCTTGCAAAGTGGGCAAGGAGATGTCATTGGCAAATCCCATGCGGGATACGTTTAACATCAGAAATTCTGATCCCTGTTGTGGCCATAAATAGAGGACCACCTGTATGTATAGTTTCATGGACCCTAACAGGAAAAAAAACCCCAACAAACCCCCGAAATTGGAACATTAAATCAACGGCGCCGTTCTAGTAAACTGGCTGCTTCCTCTACGGCCCTGCCATCTGGGACACTTTGATGCCATCCAGTCTGAGCCGCTCTCCTCCTGAGTGGCTGGTGTCGGGGAGAGCAGAACGGTCCAGGGTTAAAACAGGCCAGCGAACAAGCTGCGTTTGCCAAGATCAGAAGCTCCCCTATTTCCCCCCAGACGGAGACTCCGTTTCAAAATATGCGGGCGGCAATTTTCGCACGATGGCATGGAGCCAACTTCAAAGATCTGCCAGCCAACTTGTAACAACAGGACATCTCCCGGGGACGGTGCCTGTTTAGGTTAGGTTTTGTTATGTCCTCCCCGGCCTTGGCTGGCAGTCAGCACCACCGTTCGGAAGGTCAGAGAGCAATTGTTTCATAGCGATCCAATAATCCTGTTTCCAAAAGACGCCTAATCAGCCAGCAATGCAAAAATGTCTTCGAGGGAATCCGCTAAATTACAGCCAAAGCCGTTTTAACGCCATTCCCTCAGCTCAGCTCCTCTTAAGTTTATTACTAGATTAAGGGTGGTTTTGGCAGACTCGCAGCCTGGAGGAGGGGAGAGCAGGGAAGGAGGGGGGGAGAGAGAAGAGGAACGGAGCAAAAAATTTTTGGGGGGGAGATGCAAATCCATCTTGGCATCGGCTTCGAATTCCTCCAATTCTACGGGACTAGCTTTTCTTCTTTTCACCCGTCTGTGCTTGGACAAGTCGCTGTCGTTTTGTCGGACACATTTTTTGGGGGAGGGGAAGGTTGTCCTGGCCTTCTTCTTCTGTGGGTTGAGAGAGAAGTACTGGCCCAAAGTCACTTTGTTGGCTTTTGCACCTAAGGCAGAACTAGAACTCCCAGGCACTTGGCTTCTAGCCCAGGGTCTTTAGTTACTGCACCAAACTGACTCTACCTACTCTCCAGGTAGTCGTTGACTTACAACATTCATTTAGTGACCATTCAAAGTTACAATGGCACTGAAAAAAGTGGCTTACGACCATGTTTTCACATTTGAAAAAAGGGAGGGGAGATCTAGATTATAGTCCCTCCTCAGCCACAGAAGCTCATTGGCTGAATTTGGGCCAGCTCCTGCCTTTCAGGCCAAGAGCCAATCAGATGTAGTGGGGATGGGGATGGACTAGAAGGGGCGAGACCTGGGTTCTAGTCTTCCTTCAGCACAGAATCTCCTGGGTGACTCTGGGCAAGTTCCTTTGTCTCAATCAATTCACACAGACACTTTTCCTATGGCTGTTATTGTGAAGGAGAACAGACGGGGGGTGGGGGAGGTAACTATGTCCCCTTGAAATCCTGAAGGAAGGAAGGAAGGAAGTAAAAGAAAGAGAAAGGAAGAAGTAAAAGAGAGAGAGAGAGAGAAAGGAGAGAAAGAGAAAAAGAAACAAAGAAAGAAGAGAAAAAGAAAGAAAGAAGAGAAAGAGAGAAAAGAAGAAAAGAAAGAAAGAAGAGTGAAAGAAACAAAGAAAGAAGTGAAAGAAGAGAAGAAAGAAGGAGGAATGAAGAAAGAAAGAAAAATGAAAGAAACAAAGAGAGAAAAAAGAAGAGAGAAACAAAGAAAGAAATGAAAGAAGAGAGAAAGGAAGGAAGGAAGGAAGGAAGGAAACGGAAAAAGATAAAGGAAGAAGTGAGAAAGAGACAGAGAAGAGAAAAAGAAACAAAGAAAGAAGAGTAAGAAAGAGAAAAAGAAAGGAAAGAGAAAGGAAGAAAAGAAAGAAAAAAGACAGAAAGAAAGAAAAAAGAAAAAAGAAGAAAAGAAAGAAGTGAAAGAAGAAAGGAACGAAAGAAGAAAAATGAAAGAAGAAAGAAAGGAGAAAGAAACAAAGAATAAAGGAAGAGAGAAAGGGAGAAAGGAAGGAAGGAAGGTAGAAAGAGACAGAAAAAAGACAGAAAGAAAGAAAGAAAGACAGAAAGAAAGAAAAGAAAAGAAAGAAAGACAGAAAGAAAGAAAGAAAGAAAGAAAGAAAGAAAGAAAGAAAGAAAGAAAACTGCCACAAGATATTTGTCCCAACCCTTGTGCAAAGCCACTACAAATAC